AAAAAAAAAAAGGTACGTGATCAAGTACAAGTTGATTAAATATAAAATATGTAACATTCAAATAAAAATTTATATTTTACGAATTAAATGAAATAGACGTTTATGAATATAAATAAACTATAATACAACAAAACATAAATAAATAAACAAATATATATGAAGATCGTGTTGTAACTCACCCAAGTATTCTTCGACCTGCCTCACTCAACGAAGCAACTTGCGTAGACGGAGTAAAACCAATCTGCGGCTTCCAAGTGTTTCCAGTATTACGATTCATTTGGTCAAAGTCTTGAGGTTTCAAAACTCTTGACGGTTCTTTAACGCCCTTCAACTTCCTCGCGGGGAAAATGAAATTAGTGCTATATTTTGGATCTCTGAATCTGACACTACAACAGGAAAAAAGGAGACAATTGTATCTCTAATTTTAAATCAAACAAGTATTCTTGTTTTAGAGTCATTCGTGTATTTTATACGTACCAATATACTTTATTATTCCTGACTGGTAGACTATTTATAGGTGAGGGTAAAGTAGCCCCATCTCCGACACAGTCTTCTGCCAACAATACTGTACCTCGCATGCCGTCTATGGATATCGAAGTTTCTACGTCGAATCGCACGTGGTTTATGTAAAGTTCCTTTATAAAATTATAGTTACTGTTGCCCAGTCCAACATATAGTCGATCGTCCCCTCGAACATTTCGTTTTTCTAAAAAAAATGAATATCAAATGAATAAATAGTGAATGAACTTTGAAAAGATCGTATTTAATGAAAACAACATACTTTCTGCTTCTGTTAAGAAATCGTAATATGGCTCCAATGCTTTGAACAGCCGTTTCTCGTCGACGAAAGGAAGTAGGGCTACTCCTTGCCAAGCAAACTTTTTGCCATTTAAGTCAATTTTAAAATCTTCTGGATAGAAATCGATAATTGGCGATCTCTGAAAAAAGGGAGAAAATTTGATAAGTATCGCAAATTATTTTTCATTTTAATTGGTAAATTTCAACCTACTGGATCGCTCATTAATTTTGCCCAAGGTGCAGGAACATGTTTACTGCTAGCTGCTGGGAACACACCCATCAATTGTTCTAATGGACGAAACTAAAACATTCAAAATGAAAAAGAATAAATTTCTCTTGTTGATTGTTCAATCTGTATCTCAAAATATGCTTACTGGTGTAGTTCCTTTCTCAAATTCGGTGGAAAGACCACCGATGTTGATGAAATCGCTAGCAAATGGTGCATAATGATATGGAAAATACCATTTCCATGAAGCACAACCTTGATAGTAATATCGTAAAACCCAACATAAACCGCGTACATACTGTAACGCTACGTTATTTCTGTAAATAAACAAAATTTATAATTCAAAGCATACATAAGATCGTAAAAATCTCTTACCTAAACGCCAAATTATCGGGAGATACATCGAATTTCGATTCGTAGTAACGATCCTTGAAACCGTCTTCCCACAATCGAACTTCATCATGCGCTTGATCGTCATCCGACTCATCTTCAAGTGCATCACTTTTACGTTTACACTCCTGATTAGTCGCATTCTGCCACTAACAATTTATATATTTATAAACATGTATAAATAAGGTACATAATGAAATTAAAAACATAGAACACACCTCAGGACGCATCATACTTTCCAGCATCTCTTTAGAATTTCCCGTTGCACTTGTATGATAGTTTTGGCCATGAATGCGCATTTGATAGGCTTCGTAACGTGCGTTTTTTACTGGACTAACACGGTCACCAATACGCTGTAATAAAAATATACATATTAAACGATATCATTAAAATAAGTTTAACTTTATTGAGTTAAAACACACTGTTGGTGCAAATTGTCCCGTAGGGATCCATTTTGGCTTATTGTTACCGACGCCCAGTAACCTCCTCTTTTTATCCTTCTCGCGTTGTTTGAAGGCTAATTCATTCTGTTGTCTTTTCTTAAAAATTTCGTCTTCGACACTGCCTAGTTCGGACATTATAAGTTGAACTCTGTCCAAATTTACATCTCCACTGTCTGTGAGAAATCCCTATAATTAATAAAAAGGTGTTATCTACGAATGTTTCGTGTTTTCTTTGATGTACATATACCTGATCAGATATTTTTTTCTTTAATATATATTACGTACTCCTGTTTTATATACTGCTTTTTTGTACAAATTAACGAGTCTATCGATTGCCCCTTCTCTAATCTCCAAAGACGGAAGATGAGGAAGAAAATCGTTTCCTACGAAGAAACACATGAACACCCAATCATCGATAACTCGTTCGAATTCGTATTTAAATGGTAGATTAGGCATTTGCAACTCTCTTTCTAAATATTCTCTGAGAACATTTAATCGCACAAATATGTACTGGCATTCGGATCCAAAAACATTAGCCTCATCTCTTGGATTATGCTCTGCACCCGTACACTCCTGCATCTCATGTCCCAATTGACCACATATGTCACACGGTTTCGGTTTATTCGGCTTAAATTCCTCACGAATAATTGTAAAGTTAGGTTCGTGCGTTGCAAGACCTAACATAATTAAATCAGCGTCCGCCCCGCA